TACTACTACTACTAGTACTCCTACTACTAGCATTTGCACTAGCACTACTGCTACTATTGCTTCCTAATACTACTCCTATGATGATGAGGACGATAGGTTGTTGTTGAGCAGTATCTCTCAGCTGCTGTCAACATGTCTCATCCCCGTCAAGATCATTTGATTTGGCATGCGGCAATTGCCTACAATATCTTTTTGGCAGGATGGGCTACTAGGATCGAGGAAAACTGCATGTCCTTGATGTTTAGATCCCAAGCATTCATGACATCGTTGCTTCGCGCCGGTTGTTGTGCGTAGTTGTCGGTAAGGTTGCTGTAGGCAGGAATTCTTTAGGATGATGCAGGTCTTCACTGAGCATCTATGAATGTTCATTTTGCGTGTTTGCAGTTTTTCGCATTCTAACAAGGATAGCATCATGGGGACTCCCGCTATTCTCCAACAGTGCTTGGCATGGGGGTTCAGTGTGTCGCTGTTTGTGTCATTGTGTAGCCCAAAGTCCTGCACTTGTCGCCCGAGCATTTTACAAAGTCGCGCCATGTAGCGTAGTGGTTGACCATGGCTCCCCATGTCGAGGAATTGTTTACCATCTCAGGCCCTCTTGGCATAGAGGATTACCGTGTCGCACTCTGTGATCTAATTTTTCTGTCGACTGCGACTCTTGTGCTTTCATGCCGCCATCTTCGGCATCCTGGTTACTACGCCATGCGGGGAGTCAGCCCAAAGGGTACAAGTGAAGGTCGTGCCCTTCCTTCTGAGCTCATGTGGGCTGGCATATAGGGACATGCATATGCAAGCCTAGCGCAACGTGACATGAAAGGCTTGCGTAACCAACAACATTGTCTAGTTCGCAACCCTTGGATTCAAGCCCGCCCAAGCCTCAACATCCTCAAGGGGGTCAAAGCCCCTTGGTTGGCCTTGAAGAAGAAGCCTTCAGGTCTCGCAGTGTGGAACTTGGCCTTTCAGAGACTCCCTGGCGACCCGCTACGCTCCAAGACATCCTCCTCTGCAGATGCTTGTATGTCAAAGTCATCAGATCATCTGCTCTAATTGTGGGGTTGCGTGTCGTTGGTTCCGATCCATAACTCGACCTGATGTACTCCCGCGTTCGTAAGTTCTATGCCTTTGCCATCCTGAGTTCAGAAAGGCACCTGCTCGACGTGCTGGTGGCAGGCCTGAAAGATGCGGATGGCTGCAAACACGGCTGCTAGTGCTTTTGTTAGTAGTGGCTGCCCGCCCAACATCGAGTGGCCAGATCATATATGCAGGTTTGGCGTTAGAGAGCATCTTGTGTTGTTGTGACACGTTCTTGCTATTGGAGGCATGTGTTTTTGGCAGGAGGCAGAATTTTCAACATTGATTGTGGCAGACCAAAACATCGCCAAAAGCTTCTGAGCCGCAGGTCAAAAGGCGAGGGTGGCGTCTAGGCCAGCTGCTATTCACAAGCACGCGCTTCGCAAAGAGAACCTTACTCCGCTAGAAAATCTGGATGGATGAATCCTTGTATGGGTGCCTACATTTCTGCCAGAACGATAGATTTTGTCGCAGTTGTTGTTTTTTCTTAGTTTTCTTCCCATGTCGTTTGTTGGCCAGGTTTTCCTGCAGTTGTGGAAAGTTGTAGCACCTTGACCCATCGCGCTCTTCAATCAGTCATGTTCGCATGTAAGAGTCGTGGGCCAACACACAACACATTGGCAGTGCAACTGGTAGTGCTGACATTTTGTAACCCTCTCTTTAAAACAGTCAGTGCTCCACGCATGTTGTATGTGATAGGCATGTGTCTCAAGTGAGTTGCTCCAAACCCCAAATGTGGAGCTGTGAGGCAACAAGCCTAGTGGGAAAGGCCCTTTCAGATTGCACAGTGAAGACTGCCCAGCTCAAGCTTGCTGCTTCTGTGAGGCTTCGCCTTGCATCCTGAAACTTGTCGCGATTCTTTGGCTTGCTTTAGGATTGGCTTGTGCCAGGCATGCCGCCGACCGCGAAGCCCTGGCAAGTTTCACCTTGGACCCGTTACTCCCCGCATCCGACCGTAGGAGGAAGCACAAAGACAGTGCTGTTCGTGCGGGCTGAGAGTGCTGAAGATGCCACATGTTTGGACATTTTTTTAAGGAACTCCGTATACCAAAACATCAGTGCCCCTTGTACAGCTAGTGTTTCTTCATTGATACCGTCACATTGAAGCTTTGCAGATTTTTAGACCGAGCCTGGCAGTCGCGCTACAGACGTTGCAGATCGCCAAGCCTCAGAACCCCACGTACTGACCTGACACCACATCATCCACATTCCCACCATTTCCAAATGTTGCTCCGACAACAGCTCCCAAGGCATCGAGCTACACCCTGAGCCCCCAACCCATCGAAACAGATGGGACGTCAACGCATTCCCGGACTCCATTGGCCTGCCCTGTGGGGGCGGTTTGCGGCATGAGGGTTGAATGTGTTGATTGGAGCCTGAACTCTGGACTCTGGATGACCTGCAGACCTTCAGTTCAGAGTGTTTGGTGTTGCCGCCTTATATGGAGCCCGGGCTAGGATTCCCGCAGCGAGGGAAGCACAACCTTTGCCACAAGTCAACAAGAGTTACAACTGTTTGGCGTTGGCTAATTTGACAGCGGAACTTGTCCAGGTTTGAGGTTGTAGATGTCGACTCCCTGTGTACATGCGCCAAGCTGGCCTTGCTGTGATTTTGGCTCAGCTTTTGTGGCGACATTTACGATGAGCCCTCAAGTCTACAACGTGTTTGTACATGTTCGGGGCTTTAGCTCAGAAAAGAAGATTCTTTGAGACAAGCGCCATTGCTAGCAGCATGTCGGGCGATGAAAATCTGAAGCCAGGACTTCGTGAGTGGATAACTGCTGCTAAGCTGCCTTGGAGGATCCCTTATTATAGTTGGGAGCCCCGGTTTTTAGAGCGTGCATACAAATCAGATACTGTACGGTCTCCATTCAAAAGACCGCCTGATGTGCATGAAGGGACATTCGGCACCGGAATCTTTGAATGGCTTATTTACGGATACGATACGACGTGTGTTGCACTTAATTCTTTTTAATGTACCAAGCATTTCCAATGTTCTTTGCCTTCGAGGAACTGACCAATGCGCCCACAACCATGACTCTTCCATTACAACACGTTTCAGCAGCCACACATTTGGATCGTTTAAGGGTTTCGTTACAGCACAGAACCTGTTCTATTACATTAGAGTATATTACATTATATGCAACTGTTAGTAGAATATATTCTATTCTATTATATGTAACTGTAAAATAGTAATTTGTATTGTATTATATCATGTTCTATTCTACTATATGATATTATATTGCATGCTATTATATTGTTCAGCATACTTCCTGCAGCGGTCTGAATGCGTGCAGGTGATTCTGGGCAGCCTGGTGACCTTCTTCTTCACCTACTTCTTCTACGGTTGGGCCTCTCTGCAGGCATTGCTGGAAGCAGATGGCGTGTACTTGGCCGTCTCCTGGACAACATATCACTTGCTTTCCGGCTTATGTTATATGACCATAACCTAAGATATCTGGGCGGAAGTCCTCCCCCAGACCAACGCAGGTGTGCGTGCCAGAAGAGCCGCTGTGCTTGGAGCGCACGAGCCGCATGATCTTGCTGTTCACCGTGGACAACCTGGTCACTGTTGCTCAGCTCTCCTGGCACCGTCACAAATGCGCCCCTTAGGTCAGGTATACAGCAAATTCCTGTTGAGAAGCTGTCAGAATCCAACCGGCAGGTTGCCACAGCGGCCACGTTGTCCATGGCCGTTGATGTGGTCGGGCCGGCATTGCTAGCGCTGCTGGGAGGCTGTGTGCAGGCCGCGGCTCTCCTGCTCATGGCCTTCTCCACTGGGTCCCCAGGTTCTTGAGAATTTCTTGGCCTGGCTTGCGCACCAGTGGCGTGCCCCCACTTCCTGATTTGCTTGCTTGTGGCCTAGGTCTGCCGAGACGCCCCTGGACGGCTTTTTGGTGGCCTTCATCTTGAGCGGAGTAGGTGGGGCAGCCCTAATGGTTCAGGCCATGAAGCTCGCCTTCGCCATTCAGCCCAGATACTTTGCTCTTGTGATGACGGCCATAAATGTCCTGGTGGACTCTTCTGCAGTCACTCCATTGGGGCTCTACCGCCTATACCTTGCGGGCATCTCCCGCTTTGCCATCTTTGCTGGCTACGGCATCACTTGCCTTGCGCTGTCCCTTTCACTGGCTTTCTGCTGGTCAGGGAGCCCCATGTGCATCCTGAAGGCGCTGAATGCAGAGGAGCTGAAAGCAGTAGAATCGAGTGCCCAGGCAGAAGCAGATGTTCTGGAGCCAAAGAATTCTAGCAGCTCCAGCCGCCCGCGTTTGCATGGGCTGCCTGTCAGAGACCAAGTTTGTTCCCTCGAGTTTGCGTTTGCGGGAGTTTTCCTGATGACGCAGCTGTTTCGCAGCAACGCATACCTTGGCATCAACAAGGACTTGCTACAATCTCTGGGGGATGCAGAGACTGAGTGGTGATCTTTAACAAAAATTCGGACTAATGTGCTAGGTTATGTTACCTAGGGGCGTTGGGGACACATGTAATTATCTGTGAAGAAACGGTCCTGGATAGATCAAGGAAAGAGACAACCTCTACACTCAGATCTTCAGTGCCTTGCTGCCGGCCTCAGCCTTGCTGCTGCCTCTGTTTGACTTCTGCATGACCCGTGGAGGCTTTGTGTTCGGCCGAACCCTCGTGTGTGCAGGCTGACAAGTTACAGGCCTCGATTTGAGCACCCCAAGTCCTTGGCAGGCTTCGTGTTCACCTTCAGCATCGTCCTGGCACTTGGCTTGGTCTGGGGAATCATTACCCTGATTCCCTCGCTGGAGCTGCAACTTGTGGCCTTCGCCCCTCGGGCAAGACGAGAAAGAACGATGACACGTTTTGTGGCATACAGGTCCAGCTTGTGCCTTCTGCGAAAACTGATAACCAAAACTGGTAACCAAGGTTGCCTTTACAAATTATCGTGCTCTCTTGCATCTGGGCTGCTCTTCAACAGAATGTTGCTACTTTCATTTCCTTCGGTTCATTGGATCAAGCATGGGCAAGCTAAAGCTGGTGCGGACCTGGCCAGAGCATCAAAGGTTTGGGGTCTTCTTCACTTTTCTGGGCCACAGCTTTGGCAACCGAACGTTCGGTCGCATCAGCTCACTGTGTTTCTTCCTGTCAGCCAGCCTATCTTGGTTGATCTGGCCGTGCACCAACATATCCAAGCAGCTAACTGGCGACCTTACAGCAATGAACTTCTTCTTGCTGAGCCTGGGAGTGCTGCCCATTTGGATGACAATTCTTTTAGCCAGGCACCTCAAGCAATTCCCAACTGGTGACGTCTCCATTCTGCGGGGCTCCGCGAACAACAAAGGAATGGCCGCGGGCAAGTTCGATTCAGTATTTGTAGGGTCCCCCAGGGAGGTGCCCACGCCGAAGCGTTCGGGATGGCGGTGGGGCAGATGCTTGCAAACATGCTTTGTGGCCTGATCGGCTGAACCCTCAAAGGGTCACAGTCTCGAGAGGCAAAACCGGTTTGATGCCGGGTGTGAGGCCCGGATTTTCACGGTTCGGGGCATGTGCAACTTTCTGCAGCTTTCTGCTTCTAGAGTTCGGCAAAAGATAGGGCAGGCTGCAGGCCTGATTTCACCACTAGCGTTCACTAGCGTTCTTTTTGCTCGTGAGCGATGCACCCAGACTCCGACTGCAACTTCATGTTCCACAAGGCCTCGCCGGCTCAACAAGCTGCCACGCAACCAATTGCAAGGGCCGGGCTAGCTGGCTGGGCCCCTCCCTATTTATGTTGATACATCCTGGTTTCTGCAGACGCACAGATTCCATGCAAAGCTTATGTAGAGCCTCAAGTGAAGCCCACATTCCGAGTTCTAAGGGCATTGAGCTTCCGGCTCGCGTAGTGCTGATCATGGTTAGGCTTGTCTCCTTGACATCATAGCCTTACTGTTTGTAATCGCAGTAAAGCATATGAGTACTTCCATCAGCTTTACCATATTCATACAGATCACGTTTAAGTGCTAGTATAAAACAGGATGTTCAGCCTCAACAGTAGCCTTTCAAGTGTACAGGACTTGGGTTCCAAGCTCGGGTTCTAAGATTCAGGCCCTCCTGTATGAAGATTCAGGACCTCCCGCCAAATGCATGGAAATCCCGACTGCCCGCCCCCCCACACAAGACACCATTTCGAAGGACTTCGCTTGCTGTTCAGTTCGATTTCCGTCATCCCTGGCAACTAGCAGAACCTCAACCACTCTGCCCTTCTTGCGGTACTTGACCGAGATGCGCAGCATTGCCATCCATGTTCACATCTTCGGGAGATATTGGGTGTCCTTCGGCAGTAGTCTGACAACGTGCAGGGCATTGCGTTTCGACCATGAGGCTATGCAGATGATTCTGAGGATTCGTTGTATCGATTTCGCACTGTGATACACAAGACTGATGACAGTGTCAGTTAGACTCAGTCGGTCTACTTGCAAAGACAAGAAATCAATATATGGGATACGCTGCTGGCCTCTTATGTTGAGCGGGGCCTGTCAGCACTAGCGGTTTCAGTATTCGATTTCAAGCAAGGGTTTCAGGAAGCGTTTGAGGACACCTGATCAATCCTCCTTGCTATGTTTGTAGTGGAGCCGCTCCATGACGAGCGCTACTGCCGCCTCTACAGCCGTTTGCTGAGGCCGGTTGCGTTTGTACTTCGTGAGCAACTTCACAGCGCATAGCTTGATTAGCAAGCCTTGCCTGAAAGTAAAGATTCCATTTTTTGACTTGTAGGCTCGAGGCCTGGTTGGAGTTGGCAGTGACGCCCCCGGAGGAAGAATGCTTCCTGGAGGAGAAGCGGTGGGAGGTGAGAGTTTGGAGCTTCGAATTCGGAGCGTGCAACGTTGAAGCTTAGGGTATGTAACACGTCGCCGAAGCTGAAGGGCAACCTACGTGGTCCTGTTGTACAATCTTTGGAGCCAACGGGGGCATTAGCATCTTCAGGAGGAGGTAGTTGCTGTGGGAAGCTGGCAGCAGGGTTGAGGGCATTCTAAGACTCAGGAGGCGGGAAGAGGGCGGCGCAAAACCTGTAAATCATGCTATGTTGCTGTGTGATGTTGAAGGCAAAGCCTTTTGGAGTCTAAAAGGGTACCTCATCAGGGTTTTGCCGCAGACGTTGTGACCTGCAGGACAAAGATCTTCTAGGCTGTCCAGATGACTTGCCACGGCTGCGCGAGAGGTTGGATCAAGCAGTGCGTCAACACTAGAGAAGGGTTGGAAGATAGATCCGCTCTGGCAGACAGGCATCTTCATTGGCGTGAAATCACCTCGTCGCCATGCTGTATGCGCGGTTGTTATGCTGATAACAGTCTTTCTTTGCCGAACGTGGATGTCACGCATTTGGCTGGTTCCGCCGGTTGCCCTGTGGATGGTGACGTGTCCTCATGTCCTCACGCTATGGCAACTGATTTCGTTTCGCCCTGTGGTGCTCTCGCCTTGGTCCTGGTCTGCGCTTACCATCCTTGAAGCCGTCTTGCTTGTCTTTTGACCCTCGAGTCTTCTCGCGTGCTCTTGAGGAATCGGACTGTTCGGGGTTGTCCAACAGACCCATCTTTTGTTGTACAGTCACATCGCAGGCGCCTGTCCTTGGGGCGAAGGCCCCTTAACACAGGCTCAACATGAAGTTCATGCAGTTGTACCTTGATATGCCCTCTAGGGCTTGGAGCATGGTCCTCTTTGCATATGGGGCCTTCAAGAGTTCATTTTCGTAGCCATCCTGAGAGCGCATGTGCATGTGAAGAAGCTTCAACTCGTGTATGTGGACCCAAGGTGAAATCATGCTGCCGCTTGCATTTGGGGCTATCAGGCGTTGACCCCCTTGATCAACAAGCGGATGTGCTTCGGGATTGGGTGTTGACCATGGCGCACGTGATGTCACTTCACAGCCGCGTGCTGTGAGTTCTCTCATCGTCACGTGTCCTTGGAGATGTTTTCACGCCGCGTTATGTGAGTCAAGCTCACGCCTAGTAGCAGGGCACGACGTCGGTGGAGTGGGTGTTAGAGACGGCTGTCTCACAGAAGCCTAAGCTTGCCCTGACTTCGTTCATTGTGCTGGTGGACCTCTGTACCACACAAACCTACCAGTCTCAGCACTTGGGAGATTTCAGACTTTGACTTGCTGCATTGACTTGAAGGGCTTCCATTCAAAGCCACGGACGGCCTTGCTCCCCCGCAAGGGTTCGGCCCTGCAAATGTTTCTGTCCAAGATGCCAAAGAAAACATCTTTACACCTGCATCCTTGAAATGCTGCGACATCGCCAGAGAACTGAAGCGTGTGTTTGTAAGAGTGTTTGTAAGACCCTTGATACGTTGATCTGCAGCTCAAGCTGGCAAGCTTAAAGATCTCGCAATTTGTAAAAGCTGTGGCCATAGGACAGAGATCCACCTGTACCAAAGCTTGCCGGAAGAGCCAGGTGCGAATCTGTGCGCCGAGAGCTCGGAGCCGCCCTGCCGCCACAGCGGAGAGACCACCTCCGTGTTGAGGCTGGAAGCTCTTCCGCCAGTGCTAGGCTCTGTGAATGGTGTTTTTAGGGAATCCAAGAGTGAAGAGAGATCTCGTGGGACGAAGGATTTGAGTAGCCCGGGCTGTTCAAGGCTTCGAAGCTCCAAGACGCCGGACTCGGCCTCTTCGCTGCGCAGCCTCTCGAGGTTTCCACACAAAACTCAATCCACGTGGTCCTTTGCACCGCCAGGGCTTGTCTGATTCTGGCATATTCTGGCAATCTTCACGATTGGGAAAGGATGGGCGGAGTCAAGCTCGATGTGCCAGCAATCACAAGCATTTTTTCTGGATGAAGAACTGAACATGTGTCACAATAAACTACCGCAGCATTGTGATAGCATAGCGAAAAATACAGCCGTTCTACCAACCGTAGTGTGCCTTGCCGAAGCGGCGTTGTAGTATGCTTTGATGACAAGGGATCAGTTCAACTGTTTGATGGAAATGGCAGATGTGCAAGGTGGGTATCAGCTTGTTGATTCTGCTGCTGAAGATACTATTGGTCGGGGACGGTTTCGGCACGCGACCGTTTCGATTTGCACGTGCGAGAGTTGGTGGATGGGGACTGCGGCGGCTAGCTGATGTCTTACCGTCTACTTTTGGCACGCAAGCTGTTCAAGTCCTAAGCAGTCTGCAGAGTTCAGCTGTTGCCCGCCCTGGGCCCAAAGCAACCTCATGAAGCACTTAGCAGGGCCATGTGAGATTTTGAAGGAGGGAGCTGTGGTGGCTCATTACGCTGGAGACCTCCATGACCTGAGGCCACTCTAGAGAGTTTCACAGGAGTCAGGATGGGGTTTGCTTGCGCAAAAGATGGTTTTCTCAATGGCCGAGGTCTGTTTTGGCTTTGGCGTTTGGGTTGGGCTGTAGAATTCAGAGGTTTGCTCTACACCTACGATGTAAGGCCTTTGCTGCGAAGCTGCGAAGGTTCATGATTTGCATGTTGCTGATGCTGACACCCGCGGATGGCTTTCATTGCGGATGGCAGCTGCCTAAACGCCACGAACATCTCGAATGTCCCACTCCTTTTTTCGCCAGGACATCACAGAAACTCCAGGACCAGTCCTACGTGATGCGCCTGGGTGTTGCAGGCTTGCGGTCAGCTTGAGCATCAAGTTTCAGACTAGAGTTACGTACTCGCGTGACCTGTCGGTTCAGATGCGTCATGTAACCCACATCACGTTTGATTGTCGTTTTGGCATACTCATGCATCTCCGCACATCAAACTGGTAGTGTTTCTTGATGCCATTTTGGTGAGAACGCGCACACATATGGTGTAGAGGGCAGCGTACTCCGCCAAGAGACATCTACTACTGCATTCCTGAGAACCTCACACAATCCTTGAAGTGTGCTTGGGCCTTTGCTTGCTCTGATGGATCCAGCTTGGTGAGAATAAGGAGGTTGAATGCTGGTCAGTTAGTTTACCTGTGAGAGCAGTGCGTTGTTGAGATGGCAGCCTAGTGCCTCTCATCACCCAGTGGCAGGCCCAGGCAACGATGAAATTGCCAGTGGCTGCATTTATGTCGCCTCTTGACTGAATGGCTTTTTCCCGGCAGATGCCTGAATTCTGCAGATCTCTCGCGTCTCTGGTTCGCGACTTCTTTTAAACATCGCTTCAGGCTTTCTACGAGGTGCAGAGGCCCAGATGTTGCTTCACCAGCTACCTAACCAAAGGTGTGAAATGGGCCCTGCACATCACTGCTCCTACCCTCGGTTTGCGCGGCTCTTCGCATGCAGGATGCCTTGTAATATGATTCCTTGGCTGAACTAAGCAGCTGCGGCAGCATTTGTCTCGCTACGCGGAACTTGAATTCAAGTCTGAAACTTGACTCTAGGAGGGATAGAGGTCGCGAAGAAACTGCAACTTTCATGCTTGCCCGACTTGTCAGACGTTGAGCCAACCATTGCCAGAAGCCCAAAGCCACGCAGCCGTGCCCTTCCG